TCCTCTCTCCTCTCCCACTCTCTCATCTGACTCCCCTCTCCTCACTCTTCACCCCTCTCACCCTTTCTTTCTCATCTCTCTTCCATCACTCTCCACCCCTCTCCTCTCCTATCACTACCTCTGTCTCCTCCCCATCTCACTCCCCTCTCCCTCTTCCCCTCCACTCTCACCCTCTTTCTCCTCTCTCCACCCCTCTCCTTTATCATCTCACGCTCCTCTCTTCTCACTCTCCTCTCCCCTCTCCTCTGCTCTCCCTCTCTCGTGTTACTCTTCTCCCCCTCCTCCCCTCTCACTCTTTCTCATCTCACTCTCTCTTTTTCATGTCACGCTCCTCCCCTCTCCCTCTCTGTCTTGTATCACTCCCCTCACTCTCTTTCTCATCCACTCTTGCTCCTCTCCCTCTTTCTTGTATCACTCTCCTCCCCTCACTCTCCTCCCAGTTTCTCATCTCGCTCTCTCTTCCCCTCTCACCTCACGCTCCTCTCCTTTCTCCTCTCACTCCCCTCTCGCTTCCCTCTCGCGCTCTTTCTCATCCACTCTCCTCTCCTCTCACCTCACGCTCCTCTCCTCACTCTCTGTCTCATCTGACTCTCCTCTCCATCTTACTCTCATCTCTGTCATCTCACTCTGCTCCCCTCCCCTCTCCTGTCACTCTCTCTCTCTCTCATCCACTCCACCCCTGTCCTCTCCTATCACTACCTCTGTCTCCTCCCCTCATCTCACTCTCCTCTCCTCTCCCTCTTTTTCATCTCCCTCTCTTCTCCTCTCCTCTTACTTTCACTCGCTTTCTCGTATCACTCTCCTCCCCTCTTCTCTTTCTCATCTGACTCTCTTCCCCTCTCCCCTCCTCTCCTTCTCATGTCCCTCTCCTTTTCATCTCCCACTCTTTCTCCTCCCCTCTCCTCCTCTCTCATCTCTGACCTCCTCCTCCTCTCCCTCTCCTCTCCGACTCTCTTCCCCTCTCCTGTCACTCACTCTCTCTCATCCACTCTCCTCCCCTCTCACTTTGTTTCTCATCTTCCTCTCTTTCTCATCTCACGCTCCTCTCCTCTTACTCTCTCTTTCTCATCTCACTCTCCTCTCCTCTCACTTTCACTTTCTTGTATCACTCTCCTCTCCTCTCCCTCATCTCACGCTCCACCCATCTCACTCTTTCTCCTCCCCTCTCACTCTCTTTCTCGTATCACTCTCCTCTCCTCCCCATCTGACTCTCCTCCCCTCTCCTTTCCCCTCTCACTCTCTTTCTCATCTCACGCTCCTCTCCTCTCACTCTCCCGACTCTCTTCCCCTCTCCCACTCTTTCATCTGACTCCCCTCTCCTCACTCTTCACCCCTCTCACCCTTTCTTTCTCATCTCTCTTCCATCACTCTCCACCCCTCTCCTCATCTCACTCTTTCTCATCTGACTCTCTTCCCCTCTCCCCTCCTCTTCTCCTCTCCTCTCACGCTCCGCTCCTCCCCTCCTCCTCTCCCTCATCTCACTCCTCCCCTCTTGTCTCTGCTCTGTCTCTCCTCTCCTCCTCTCCTCTCTCCTCCTGCTGTGAGCACTCGTTGTGTCTATCAGACACCGGCACCTTCCCATGATGGACCACAGTGGGTCAGACCACTGTAGTCCACAAGGTTTTCCCTGGTTGACTTTTGAAAGTCGACCACCAGGGCTCCCTTCCTAGCTGGTCTTAGTCTGGAAGCTCTGCCGAAACCTAGGCAGCGCCACGGTTACACGTACTGGCTGGAACTCAAACCTGGGGCTCCTACATGGAAGTAAAAACTGCCACCGAGGTACCCCTGCTCCCAACCTTTCCCCCCTCAAACTCACTGTAATAGAGTCAATGCCAACTCATAGTGTCTATAGGACAGGGCAGAACTGGCCCTATGAGTTCCTAAGACAGAGTGGCTGGTGGTTTAGAATTGACCTTGCAGCCCAACAAGTAACCACTCCAAAAGTCAACATTTTCCAAGTTTAACTGAAAAATACACTAGATATTTGGGCCAGTGGTTGTCTGCCTTACCTGTTTGCAGTCCACGTCTGGTTAAAGATGGAGGTGTCACTGAAGGCATTGCAGAGGATGAGCGAGTGCACTCTGGGAGACTTGTGAGTGTGCTCTGCAAACTTCTGGGCCAAAAAGCCTCCCAAGGAAGCCCCAAAAATATGAACCTGCTCATAAACAAACAGCGAGAGCCTGAAACATTGATCTGGAATGTAGGTATTAAAAAAATGTTTAAGGGCATTGAATGTACAAATGTGCTTTACACAATTGATGTGTGTATATATTGTGATGAGTTGTATGAGTCCCTAATAAAATGATTTTAAAAATGTTTAAATTGTCATCAACCACAAAACAGACATCATCAATAGCCAATACATTGAAACTTCTACAGGAACGCCCACCTCTCAGCAGCCAAGGGCTCAGCCACTGGGAAACTAGGGCTCCTTCTATAGCAGTTAGAAATATGTAAATACTTTATCCGAAAACATGCAACAGTCTATCCAAATTACAGAAGTAGAAAACCCCCCCAAAACCAACTTACTTAAGAAAAATATCACCCAGCAATTTTAAAAGAAAAAATTATTAAAGAAAAATGTGACCCAAAAAGTAGAAACAGAAACCAAACTTGCTGCCCTTTGAGTTGATTCTGACTCCAGCGACCCTGTAGGACAGAGTGGAGCCACTCCTTACAATCTTTCCCACAGAATGGCTGGTGGCCCAATTTGTAATGACTAAGCCACCAGGGCTCCTTGAAGTCCTGATAAAGGCTACCATAAAGATGGACCTTGAAGACATTAGAGTACATAGGGCAAATCAGTCACACAAGCCCCCATGATCTATGGTAAATGGAATGTATGCTTCGATTTAGATGAAATGTCAAGGACAGGAAACAAAAGTAGAGATTAGTGGTTGCCTAGTGCTAGAGGACATGGGGACAAAAGGGAATGACAGCTAATGGATACAGGTTTCTTTTCGAGATGATGAAATGTCCTAAAATTGGTTGTGGTAATTTCACAACCCTGTGAATATACCAAAAAAACCACTTAAGTATATGCTTTTAAAAGAATATTATTACAAATGAATTATATTTCAATGAAGCTGTGATGTAAAAAAGTATTAGGCTTTACAATGTAAGTGCTGCACTAATATCACAGCAAACATCTAGTAAACTAATTAGCAAACTATTCGTAAATGAACAGTTTCAGGGTACTCACTTTATCTAATTGCAGATGGTCCAAAAGTTTTCTGAATCCATCACAGAATTCCAGATGGTCCCAATAAACTGGGTACTGCAGCTGGAATAATAACCACATGCTGTTGGCTCTTTTGAAAACAGTCAAGGTGCAATGCAACTCACAGAGCTGAAGAACTTAGGACTCATGTAATAGCATTTCTCATTGGTTCAAGCGCGGCTCCTTTTCAAAATATATGAAAATAGCTCTCACCTTCTCCTAAATGTCATCATTCATTTTACTTAACAGACCAATTAAAACAAAAAGAAAGCTAAGTAAGCATGCTGTGGTATTATTATATGGATGGTAACTTCAACTCAGATCCATTGTCTTTCCAAACAGCTGAGACATTTAGAAGTACACGGTAAAGCAAAATTCACCCAAGTAAGAAAATACTGTATTTCCTTAAGCCCAATTTCTTTCTAAATTATGCTCAGGAGAACTGGGAGAGAAATGTTTTAAGGAAACCTTATCTTTTTAGTAGTAACATCTCTTTAGGAAGTACGGTTGGTCCACATCTTTTAACTGATGCTGTCATTCTATCTGATTTCTTACACTTTTATTTGTGACAAAAACAAAACATGGTACTTGACCTAAGTAACCTCTCAACCTTGGTGATAACAAAAATACACATCAGTGGTTCATTTCTAAAAGATGCAGGCTTATCAATAAAGACCCCCACACACCTTCAATATAAAGCAGGCTTATTTTAAGCATTTAGATCCATTTTGTCTCGACAAATTACTAGAATATCACCATGACAATTCAAAGCTCACTCTCTCACACTCATTCACTCTCTCACTCACTCACTCTCTCACTCTCACTCTCTCAGACTCACTCACTCACTCTCTCATTCACTCACTCACTCTCACACTCTCTCTCACTCACTCACTCTCACACTCTCACTCACTCACTCACTCTCACACTCTCTCTCACTCACTCACTCTCACACTCTCACTCTCTCACTGACTCACTCACTCA